CCTCTCAACATCAACTTACGCAATAATCTAAGAAAAATTTCGTAAAATATCGGAAAATCTCTTGAGGTGATGACGAAATTTTCCGCAACATTTCATGCAAAAGCCACGATTTGAAATCATTCACATTTCAGTTCCTCCAAAACATTTTCACCGGAAAATTTATTTATAAATGAGATTGTGTATTTAACCCACATCTGTTAAATCAGCATTCATAGAAGTATTTTTGAATGATTTATTTGTAGAAGTTGCTAATAAATATATATATATATATGTATACAGGGTGTCCCGAAAAAAGTGTGCTATATTCTACCCGCGGTTTCTAGAGCTTAAAATAGGAAGAAGAGTTTATATAAATATAGGTCGATAAACGTCCCCTAAGGGTGCTACGGTCTTTTGAAGGGGCTCCCCTGAAGATGGTTTTTCCTTAATATTTCCGAAACGTGTTGAGATAAAGACATAAAATTTGTTATTCTATCCTAGTTTTTTATGCTGGATTTAAAAATATTAAAAATTTTAGACAGTTTTGTTTTTTTAAAATTCAATTTTAGAATTTGAAAATTTAGGGTTTTCTACATAAAAAGGTACTCTTATTGAATATCGATAAATTGTGCCATTTTTGAATAAAATCAAACTAAAAAATTTGTCACATACAATGTTGATTATACATACATAGTTAGCCATGACTGCAAACAAAAGTTATTTTGATTTGTTACGACTTATTTTGACGTTAAGCTGACATTGTTAGCAGTGTACAGTTACTAGATTAATATCAAAATTTTTATTAAATCGATTTAAAATGCCAAGATTTACAGACAGAGAACTGACTGACATGCATTTTGTGTACGGGTTTGGCAATGGCAGTTCATTGGCAGCCGTAAGAGAATATCAAAGAAGATTTCCCAATCGCCTAGTACCTGGACGTTGAATGTTTACTGATATTCACCGGAATTTGTCAAATCATGGAAGTTTTCAGCGCATGCAGGGCTCAGGAAGGCCACTGGGAAATCATCGTATGGATATTGCTTTAAATATGTTTGAAAATAATCTGAAAATAAGCATACGAACTGTTTCAGAAATTATGGATATACCTCGATCAATAGTAAGAAAAATTTATGACTATCTATTTGATAGTTATCCTAAAAATAATAATTTAAGATAGGAAAAATGACAAAAATGCAAAGATTACATTCTTATCATTTCAAACGGGTGCAGCATGTAACGGAGGCAGATTTTTTACCACGAATCGAGTTTCGCCAGTGGATATTAGCAAATGAAAACACTATTCCTAGAATATTATGGTCGGATGAGTCAATATTTACTAGGAATGGTGCTTTTAATTTCCATAACATGCATCACTGGTCAGATGAAAATCTAAAAGTTGTTCGCCGTACAAATTTCCAACATAGATATTCATTGAACTTATGGGCAGGAGTAATTGGGGATCAAGTAATTCAGCCTATTGTACTTCCCAATCGTCTTAATTCAGAGGTGTATCTGAACTTTCTTCACAATGAGCTCATGGATATAATACCATTGGATGTGCGCCAGCAGTTTCAAAAAAATATGTTTTTTCAACATGATGACGCCCCTGCACATTTTGGACGCAATGTTCGAAATTGGTTGAATGTCAATTTTCCAGACAGGTGGTTAGGCCGAGGAGGTCCTATATCGTGGCCGCCACGTTCACCTGACCTAAATCCATTGGATTTCTATTTTTGGGGGTCATTAAAAGACCTAGTTTACTCGACTGAAGTAAGTACTCAAGAAGATTTACTACTTCAAAGAAGGCTGCAAATGAAATAAGAAGAAAAAGGTTTTCCACTTTTCGGGCTACGCAATCATTAGTTCGTCGAGCGAGACTCTGTATCCAACAAAATGGGAATTTATTTGAACACTTATTGTAAAGCTAGTTTTAAGTATATCCAACTGTATGTCTTCTTTTTTAAACAATTTTCAATTTCGTTCGTAGAAAAAATTTATTTCTTTTGTTTTTGCCTAAATGTTAGCTGTGTTGCAAAAGAAATATGTACTTATGTAATATTTACCAATTATTAAATTAGTTTTTTTGTTGCCATGACTAATTATTCAACAATTCATTTAAATTCGCAGTACACTTCCTATCATGTGACAAATTTTTTAGTTTGATTTTATTGAAAAATGGCACAATTTATCGATATTAAATATGAGTACCTTTTTTATGTAGAAAGCCCTAAATTTTAAAATTATAAAATTGAGTTTCAAAAATAGAATCATGCAAAAATTTTGGGGCTAAAATAACCTGTTACATACGATTCCAAACAAAGCTGTCTAAAATTGTTAATACTTTTTAATCCAGCATAAAAAACTAGGCTGGAATACCATATTTTATGTCTTTATCTCAACACGTTTCGGAAATATTAAGGAAAAACCATCTTCAGGGGAGCCCCTTTAAAAGACCGTAGCGCCCTTAGGGGGCGTTTGTCGACCTATGTTTATATAAACTTATTTTCCTATTTTAAGCTCTAGAAACCGCTGGTAGAATATTGCACACTTTTTGCGGGACACCCTGTATATAGTCAACGCCAAACAAAGTGGCGTGCACGTCATCAAGGTGGGTGTGTTGAAAAATTTACATTGTTGCCAAACTTTTTGTAAAATAATAAAATTTATTATTTACATATCTAGGTTTATAAGCAATATTAACCTCAAATGAGAACAAAAATAATAGTATAATAAAATTATAGATCTGTACTTGCATAATCATTAAGTATGACAATTATTGATCAGATGACACTATGAAACTACCATATTTAATTGATAGCTTAAAGGTACTGAATAAAAATCCAAATGGGGTCCTCCAAATTTTATGCATGGTATTTATTTTACAGAATTCATACAGAAAAATGCATTCTAAAATTAGGTAAGCTACTGGTGTAAGCTTTTCCTGTACAATAAAGTTAGTCGGAGTTTCTTTCTTCAGCGCTGTCTGAATCTGAATCTTCATCACTCTCAAAGTTGATTATTAAAGGTTCGATGTCTGGTCGATCAAAAATTCGTTCTCTTTCATACCATTTAAAAATTTCTTGCTCAGTATGTCGAACACTATTTTTCCACATGTCTGGGGTAACCGTTTGTAGAGCCTCGTTCCACATATCCAAACAGTCTTTTTCACTGTTACCATCTCTACCAATATGTCTGTTATAGTAACCTTTTGCTATGCCCCAAATTAACTCAATAGGGTTAAATATACAATGGTAAGGAGGCAGACGAAGAACTTTGTGCCCATGTTGTTCCGCCAATTCATCAATCACGTATATTTTAGGTGGTTTGTTTCTAAAAAAGCAGTTATTTTAAGAATAGGAATAAACAAAAGAAATATAAACTGTCGACCAAAATATATATAATTAAGAAGCATTATGTACCGAGCAACAATACTCAATAGCTCTGTTTTAAACATTGTGTGTAAAAATGGTATGTTTTGATTTGTCAACCAGTCTTGGATATTTTTTTTTGTCCATGCATTGTTGGGCACTTTGTTCAATATCATGCTGTGATAAGGGGCGTTATCCAGTATAATCATAGATGGACTCTCCAATTTTTCTAATAACTGATGTTGAAACCATTTCAAAAAATTGTCCTGGTTCATCTCTCCATGGTAATCGCTCAATTTTGTTTTCGAAGAAAATATCGCTTCACTACCCTCAATAAACCCATTTTCATTTCCAGCATGTAATATAATGTATCTAAAATATATTAGTTTTAAATTTTATAGTGCAAATTGTGTAAAAGTACATACCTTTTACCATCTGTTTTAATAGCTTTCACGCTTTTTTGGTTTCCATTTTGCCAAGAGCGACCTATGGTCCCATTTTGAAATATCCAAGTTTCACGAAGGAAGACAAACTGGTATAAGGCCTCAACCTTGGCTTGATTGTATTGCCTTAGAAATTCCACCCTTTTCAAAGCTATACTTGGTAGTTCCATGAGCCCTCGTCGCGGATTGTCCTTAAGCCACTTAAATCCAAGATCTCTAAGCAACCGCCTTAAAGACGTGGCACTACCATCAAATAATGCCCTATCTCTTAATCGAGACCATAAAGTTTGTATCGTAACTTGTTCTTCTGAAACCATGTGTAATATGACATTATAATTTAGTTAACAAATTAATGCAAATTTCTGATAAGTTATTATAATAAGATCTTACTTTTGTGATACATATTATAGATCACTTCTCGAATGGCACTTGTATCCAATGTCGCTGTGTTGGTTACACGTTTAATATAACTCCGCTTTTTCTTGGGCGATTCTAAATTTGCATCACTTTTCACACCCTCGGAAATACGACTATCTGTCCTTAAACTAATTTTTAAAGCAGCAGCAACACGCTACAAAAAATGAAATAAAATTTCACTATTATTAATATACATTACATATAATTATTAGTAACCTACCTCTTGAACAGCATTTAAAGGCAACAAAGGCCCGTTGTTGTCCCTTTCTTGCTCAAAGTAGTGCATTAACGAGGCCACGAGTTCCTTACACCGACTATTTAACTGTTTGGGCATCTTTATATACCAAATTGCCTTTATCTACTCGTAAAATGAATAATTTTGTTTTGAAACAAACAGTTGTTGATTTACAGTATGCGGGGCCAAAGGATTTATAAAGATTTGAAATGCCACAAATTGATTCAGTGTCAAAATTAATACAAATGTCAGTTCCCAGTTTAAATAAGTTTCAAGGTGACAATGTGTCAACGCTGCGAAATCGGCTTAGTGCGTTTACATGTCGATAAGTGATTGGAGCGTTTGCAAAACATTTTATTTCGCATAATGCGTCTAAATTTATCAGAAAGCAACTTATGTGATATTTTAATAACAATGTTTATATGACTATTAACCATAATAAGAGAGTAATGACCATTTTACAATTTATATATCACATTAATATGAAACTGCAATAGAGCAATTGTTTGTGATAGAAACCTAGGCATTAGGTCGGGGAATTTTTATCGTGATGACGTGCACGCCACTTTGTTTGGCGTTGACTATATCTTCGTTTTTCGAAAAAAATTGCAAAACGGTCACAGCTGAATTCGTGATCACAGCACAAAATCTGCAGAGAAAAATTGATTATTTTTGTAAAGCTGGGCAACAACACGGTCTCCCAAATGATAAGAAAAGCATCATTCGATATCTACTTCTAGTACATATGGTATTCGAATTTGTGAAGCAAAAGTCTATGCGCTCTTCACAATATTTAAAAATGACGATTTTCATATTCGTGTTTAAAAATTGCAATAAATCTAAATCTAAATCTAGTTTGAAGAAGTGATAGATGCTATCAAATATATCTTCAATACTATTACCACTAGAGAGACTTACTATGCTTCTTCGTTCAGATTATACATACCTACAAATAAAAATTTCATTGTCAAGTATAACCACATATCTTGCTATTGTTTGAGTTTTAGACCAGTTTATTTAGAAGAAAAGTACACTTCTGAGTATCCATAGATCAGGAACTTTAATAGGTTTTTTACGTAGAAGTTTAGAGTTTGAAATCATTGCGGAAAATAGAAGAAAATAATCATTACACATTCATCAACTGCGAATCTTGATAACTCTAAAGCAAATACATAAATAAATTGCAATTCATCTTTCCGTTTCAGCACGGTTTCTATTTGGATAAGTTACTCCTCCCAACATCAACTTACGCAATAATCTAATTTTCCGCAACATTTCATGTAAAAGCCACGATTTGAAATCATTCACATTTCAGTTCCTTCAAAACATTTTCACCGGAAAATTTATTTATAAATGAGATTGTGTATTTAACCCACATCTGTTAAATCAGCATTCCTAGAAGTATTTTTGAATGGTTTATTTGTAGGAGTTGCTAATGAATATATATGTACATATCTTCGTTTTTCGAAAAAAAAATGCAAAACGGTCACAGCTGAATTCTTGATCACAGCACAAAATTTGCAGAAAAAAAGTGGTTATTTTTGTAAAGCTGGGCAACAACACGGTGTCCCAAATGATAAGAAAAGCGACATTCGATATCTACTTCTAGTACGTATGGTATTCGAATTTATGATGCAAAAGTCTATGCGCTCTTTACAATATTTAAAAATGACGATTTTCATATTCCAGCTAAGGCAAACCATAAACGCATCATTACCGTTCATTACTATTTTTATAGCTCAATCAAGTTAGAGCACATCTTAAAAGTGGGAAGGGGCCTTGCACTGCCTTGATGGTACTCTTTGAGGGGCTCAACGTATCCTGCCAGAACAGTAGCGGATTTAAATTGGATGGGACAGGTGCAGAATAACTGAAAGAGTCTCTCTAGCGCGATGTTACGAATACGAATACCAGCTCTTTGGTCAGCTGCATATCAGCTTAATCCAAAGGAGATACAAAGGCAGACGTGGCCATACTGCCTGTGCAAAGTTAGTGAAACAGCTTTGTTCCACTACTGAACAACAAGCAGCTAACGCAGCTGGCATAGAGCAGGCGACGCCTATAACAATAACAAGGAAAGGTGATGAGCCGACTTCGTCTCGACCTCAGGTTAATAGCACTGACGCTGATGTATTCAAAGTTGTCAAAATTAGAAGAGACAGGCGAATGGATAGAAGCAACACACACACCAAAATATGTGCAAAGCGGCACAAGATTGCTGGGTCAAATCGCAAAAAAAAATTCAATTGAAATTGCTCTGCTATCGGATTCAAATGAAAAACAATAGAAAATAGAAACATATTAAGGAAATGGGCTGAAAAAAAGGATAGACTGGATAAAAATGGAAACAGAAGAATTTTGCTCTGTATACATTTTACCAAATATAATAATACAGGTATGCTCTGAAAGACTTAATGAACTGGAGTCTCTTATGGTAGTGGGAGATTTCAATTCTAGTACGGAAGATCTCTACTAACTGACAAAGGAGGAGAACTCCTTGAAGAAATCCTCACAGCAACAATCTTGATCATTGCAAATGATGGAGGCAAGCCCACTTGTCAAGTCAAATATCCAATGTCGACATGACTTTCCATAGCAATAGCCTAATAGGTAGAATCAAAAACTGGAAAGTATTCCACGATAAAAATATGAACGATAATAGTATATTATGTTTGAAGTAACACCTAGCAAACATGATTGACCACAGACTTATGTTTGGGGCCAATCGTCCAAGATAGCTATGCAAAAGCTAAGACTCACAGACAGACCTTACTTAGATACCGAACAAAATGAAATTGCAGATAGATTTTCTTCGAAGTGCTCATCCACCGAACACGAACTTGGAGGGATTCTGGACGTGCCAGCTTTCGCCGCGAGTGACGTAGGAGAAGCCACAACGCACCTCGAATCAGGAGAGGCACCAAGACTGTACCAAATCCCAAAAGCGGTCGTGAAAGTGATGGTTAAAGAAGTAGTGCTGCCTGTTATGAATGAATACTTCAGAGAGCACAAGAATATTTCCGATTGTCCACCTACCTATAGAATCTGAGAAAACTACTACGAAGAATGCGCTTAATAGAATGGTGTCATCGGATGCGCTACTGGTGGTGGCTGGTATCCCGCCAATTGATTGCTGGCTAAGAAGATATGTGCTCTCTAAGAAAAAGAGTGCCGAAGTTGCAACTAAAGCGTTGCGTTTTTTGACAGATGGCAGGAGAGATGGGATGCAACTGGTCATGGTGCGTGGACTAAAATGTTGATCCCAGATATTAAAACTTAGATTGATGATGGAGCAGTACGGATAGATTACTATACTGATGAGGCGGATACTCCTGCCCACCTAGTCAAGTTTAGGAGATAGGTTGACTACCAGAGACAGCCTGAATTGATGATCCGCTAAAAGCTCACTGCTGACAATTTTGCATGTAAGCGAGTGCGCAAGATGGGTTGACCTACAACCAATAGTGATCCGGATGATGCTGAGTAACGTATGGAATGATAAGAACAGCTCAGGGAACCAATAATTTGGTTTCTACTTGCTGGTCTGTACATGTACACGGGTACTTATTTGTGCCTGAGGGTGGCTATAAAGCCTTCCGCTGTCCAAAAAAGCCAAAAATTAGCAAAATCATCCAGAGCTCTATATGAGTAAGATGTCAATAGGCACTCCATACAGAATCTATGACATGCTAGACTCAGGAAATAAAATTAGGGGTAAGGTTTTCCCACTATTTTCATGGTTTGTTGTTTGCACACTTCTTGCAAAAGATCTACGGGGATAAGATGGGTATATAGTGATACAGTGCGGATTTGATCTCCCCTTAGAGCTACTCTGATAGTCTCCTACTATAAAGGAAAAATGGCCTGGGTATATTTCATGTATGAATTTCATATTTTATACCATATGAAGCATCTTTACCTGTATGGTGCTAGTAAAGATTCACTGAATTGCCTGTGTATCAGCCTAGTTCCGGGCGTTGATCTGGGTGAGCCTATTCTAGTTCTTTTCGCCATGTAGGATACACGAAAAGTTGATCTGCGTGATGCTCAAACGTCAAACACTGAATATCAGTGATATTTTATTTCAGATTCTTCACAGTATGGTAGAAATTAGGGAACGTGAGCAAAATAATATAATGCTACTGACTATTAACTATAACGTAGTTATACAGGGTGATGAAATAAAGGACAAAAATCAGCTTCGTGAAATTTCAGATTCCCGATAATTCAAAGCGTCGTTAGTGATCAGTGTAATACGTTAAATAATAATAATAATATTTATTCACTCAATGTACAAAGATAACAAACAATATGAGTAAATAAATATAAAATCAAAACAGGCCCAATAGAAGGCGTCGCCTGTACATGGACCAATAATTCAAGTTGAAACTGTAGAATGCAAATGACAAAAAAGGACAAAAATTAGCTACAGTAGATTATGTATTTAGTTGATGTTCGTATTTATGAGTTTATGAATTTCAGTCCTAGATATAGAATGTAGCCACTTTTTTAAATTTCTTTTGAAACAATTTCCGAAACGTAAATCTTTTAAGTCTTTAGGTATAATTTCATAAAATTTAGGCGCTAAATAGAGATATGATCGCTGCATTATAGATTTATGCGGTTGAGGAACTACTGTGCCACGAATTTTGTACCTGGTATAATGATTATGTTTAATTTTTTGGTCGGTGTTTACAAATTTATGGTAGTGAGTGATACTGTGTAAGAAATAAAGCTGTCTTATATCATACATTCGAACATCTGCGTATAATTTTTCAGTGGGATAAAGTTTCGGTTTTTTAAATATCATTTTGCTAATATGCTAATATACCATATGTGAGATGAGGCTCAATCAGTGCATGGTATAATGTTCGAAGATATTTTTCTGTCAATATATTCCCAAGGTATTTAATTTTGTAGGATACAAATCTAACTTTCTTTAAAATATAATTGACATGGATGTCCCGTCGTAAGTGAGGATCCAAGACCACTCCAAGGTATTTTATGTTGGGCACTCTATTAATTTGCATTTTTTGATCATTAATATTGAAGGAGAAATTTGTGTAATTTGGCAGATGGCAAATGGTAAAAAATGTGTTTTAGAGTAGTTAATGCTTAATTTTTTTAATGTCTGCCTTCACCACACCAGACCACAAAACAACTTCTCAGAACGCTCAAAATTTACCGCAAACCTGAATAACACCGTTTCTATTGAAAAGCGAGCAGTACTTTCCGAATTATAGCAGGATCAAGAATTGCCAGACAGATAACAGACAGTCAGACATTCCGACGAAAATGAGAGATATGATTTATTGTTATGTACAATCATATACAGGGTTTGTCCGGAAAGTAATAGGACTGAGTCGATTTAAAAAAATGTATTGAGCCAATCGTTACAATTCTTTAAAAAATTTCAAAATAGGCTCCTTCTGCGTCGATGCAGCGCTGCCACCGCGATTTCCAAGCATTGAAGGCGTCACGGAAGGCATTCTCCGAAATAGCCTTGAGAGCCGCTGTGAATGCTGCTTGGATCCCCTCTGTCGTATCAAAATGCTTGCCTTTCATCGGCCTTTCCCGGCGAGGAAACAAAAAAAAGTCCGGGGGGCACATCTGGGCTGTAGGGCGGCTGCGGAAGCGTTGGGATGCCGGCCATGGTCAGGTAGCTGTTTACAAGAAAGGCGGTGTGAGCCGGGGCGTTGTCGTGGTGCAACTTCCAGTCGGCTGCGATGTCTTGTCGGACCCGACTGACCCTTCGTTTGAGTCTCCTGAGTACTTCCACGTAACACTTGGCGTTGAAGGTTTGTCCAGGAAGAACAAATTCATGGTGGACGATGCCGTTGATGTCAAAAAAGACAATGCGCATCGTTTTCACTTTGAATTTGCTCATCCCTTTTTTGGGCGAGGAGACGCTGTCGTGTGCCACTCGGAAGATTGCCTCTTTGTCTCGGGATCATACTCAAAGATCCACGACTCGTCACCTGTGATTACGTTATTCAAAAATTGGGGGTCACTTTCACACATGTTAAAATTTTCTTGGCAAACTTCCACTCGCCGCAATTTCTGGTCGTCATTGAGCACTTTTGGGACCATCTTCGCGAACACCTTGCGCATGTTCAAATGCTATGTCACAATGTCATGAACCACAGATTTTGGTAAATTTAACATCTGTGCAATTAAACGAATACTTAGTCGACGGTGTGAGTTCAAAACTTTGCGCGCACGAGTCACATTATCGGTGTTTGTCGACGTCGAATGTCTTACAGCGCGGTCTTCATCAGCGACCTCTTCCCGGCCCTCCAAAAAGGCCTGGTGCCACCGAAACACACCACTTCTTGCTAAAGCAACACCTGGGTAAGCCTGCTTAATCATATCAAGCCTCTCTCTCTCTGTAGCAGATTTACCGAGTTTCACACAAAATTTAATCTCGTACCTCTGCTATAACGAATGCTGCATTTTCGGCTTGCACCACTCACAGTAACACGTCGCGCGAAAATGCCTGTCCTGACTCTCCAAGTGCTCGGAGACAACTGACCAGCCGCTCATTCGTTAGCTAGGAACGCCGTCTACTGAATCCAGTCGGTGCGCGCACAGTCGTGACGGAAGAAAATGAGTCCTATTACTTTCCGGACAAACCCTGTACCAACAACCTTGTGTTACAATGTCAAAGTTTCTGTGTAGTTTTCGAGTTATGCTCTGCAGGGTGAGGAGGAATTGCCGACTGACAGATCGACAGAAATGAGACATACTTCTTTATTTTGTTCATATGACTGGGATAATTGGTAAAATTTTGAATCCTCAATTATCGAAAATACTTCTGAACACATTAGTATTGCAGGTTCAAAAGCTTGAAAACGTATTACGCAACGAACAAGAAGTTTGATCCACACCCTTCCATTACAAACCTCCCGGTCCCTGTTTCTGTTCCGCCCAAAGCTCAAGCATGATGATGAAGTGTACAATTAATTCGTGCAGTATTATCGCAAAGCTTCGAGATGAAAATGTTCTGCGCAATGTACTAACCGGTCATGTCATTGAAATGTTCCACAAAATAAACAATCCACACGATACGGGATTTTTACAACATGTTTGTCTTTGTCATAAGAGTACCTTACCTAGTCCAATAAAATCTGAATGGCACATATGGGCAATAGACGTGTTTTTCTGTCATGAAAATAAATTCAACTATCAAAAATTTAGCTATTTACTCCCAACGAATGCCTAAGAATGCTAGGAAACAAAAGAAGTTTGGATATACTTGAATAGTCATTGCCACAATGCCACGTCGTCCTTGTGCAATTTGTTATAGTGGAGTGTTCGTGAGTATTTTCGATTACATTGATAAATCAAGTTTACTAATCAAACGCTCTACATCATAACAATTATTAACAGCAATTAAAAATTGAAAAAAAAACAGATTCAGAAAGCAGTGCCTATATTTCTAGGGGCAGACGAAAAGATAATACAATGAGTTCATACAAACATCCCAGTCCCTAAGTACCACTTTACCCATTACAGAGTATTGAAGTTAAAATTACGAAACCGGAAAAAATATATTTTCAGGTTGTATTGAAATGTTGAATTAAAATGTTGTACATGTAGCTTAGCCAATACATACTACAATAATTGTACCAGCAGCTACACCAATGGCATAGAAATTGGGAAATTTGGAACAGTACAAACATACTGAAAACCATTTTCAAAACTTCAGACTTTTTCAAACATCATTTGCATTTTTGGGTAAGATATTCATTTAACATAATTCACTTCTCTCTTGACAGTCTACTCGTGTTGGTGAAAAATTGGTTTGAATGTTTGAGGTAAAGTCTTTATAAAATACTTCAAACCGTTCTACTTATGAGATACGCTGAAATTTATTTGACCTTGAAAACTGTTTGAAGTGTATTAGGAGAGTAAACCTATCTCATCACAGTATTATTTGAACAATATTCATATTTTGTTTTTATTTAGTCTCGTCAGTGCTGTAGAAATTACAACATAGTACTACTTTCGACCTATAAATATCTCTTACTTTGGATTGATAGAGATTCATCTAAATCATTCAAGTAATTTATGAAAAACTGAAAGTATCAACATTAGAAGACATGAACTAGAGCAGATCGAAATGACCGTTCTAACAGAAAATGGAACTGACTCCATCAAAGTCCGAACTAATTCCGAACCGGTTCTGGACAACTAAAGGTTCGATCAAGTAACATCGGTCAGCTGTTCATACGTGGGAAGCTTGGCTTTGTGGATGCCATTTCGTGCGTTTTATGTCAAACCTAAATCTTAATCACCATTGTGCATTTTTCCTTTAAATAGGTGACGATGGATATTACTTTGGAACAGATTCAAGTGAAGATATTTCACTGATTATGGGGGTTGCAAGAACCAATGTTGATCATTTTCATGAATTCGTTTCTATGATGTTGTTAGTAAGATTAATCTTATATGTTTTTTAATTACAAGTCAACTAATAGCTTAGTGTTGTTAAGATTTCGCTTACTTTCCTCCTCTACTATTCTAACAGAGCATGCTTCCTCCAAAGTCAAAATGATGCATTTTTCCAGCTCTAAATAAGACGAGACTTCGTACCATTTCTTTAAAGTATTTCATCAAGCTATTTATCTTTTACTGAATCAGCCATATCGTTTTTCCAATTTTGCTAAAAAGATGCACAGTTCGTCAAAAAACAATACATTCTCTCAAACTCCAGGTCTGCACCCGGAAACTCGATAGTTTTAAAGTTTGCTTCAATTGGATCTGAATTGTGCTTACTTTGAACATGCGCAGAAAAATAATTCAGTATTAGTTCTGAAGTAGTTCAAAGCTGCTTTTAATGCTATCTTTTTCGAAATGCGCAGTTCTGTCTAGAGCTGCTTAATACCCAAA